GGGCTGAAAAAAAGGCAAAAAATCGCCACTTTTGGACTGATTTGCATTTTACAAAAAGTTTAGTAGCATAATGCAATTTATTCTTTACTTTACTTTACTTTTTTGTTTTATTTATATAGAAGGGTATAATAGTCATTTTATGTTAAAAATTAGTAAAAAATGACATTCAGCACAAAGAATGTGAAAAATAGAGACATTCTGCGTTAAAAAATGATGGATAAGGGCATTTTTCACAAAAACCTTCTAAGACGTTTTGGACAAATAATCCTTTTAAAAAAAGGCAGCATCTGGATTTGAAGACGCAAAGATAAAATATTTTTCAGTGGGATCTTCAATTATTGGTTCAGTTTTCAGGAGAAACATCATAAATTTTGATGACTTGTCACTTCTTTGCATCCAATGAAATAACAGTATATTCAAAAAGATTTTAAAGAACGGTATATTCGCCAAAAACACTTTTTTACTCAAAGAACTAGGGTCTCTATCTGTCCGTGACCGTGTCCTCTTCCTCTCTAAACCCCAGGTTTTACCCAATCTCAAGGTCTCTTTTTCTCTGTTTTTTCAGCTAATTAATCCTCTTATCTATGCTTTAGTACAAAAGCTATAAACTTTTTTAATCTTAATTTAATGTTAAACATATAAGTATTTTTATTTTTATCTTCTTGATTTGAGTCCCCTCTTGAGACCTCAATGTAAAAGTTGCATCTTTGCCATGGATTTCGAAATGGGTTTTACTATTCTGTACATTTGCTCGTGTATTTTATGGGTTTCAACCGCATTTCTTGCTAAATTTGCAAATGGGTCTTTAGGATGAAGTGTAGGATTTCTTCTGTTCACTTCATTATTGATTTTATTTTTACTTCTGATCTTGTTTCATTTTGCTAATAGCATTTGTTTCATGTTGCAGGAAGAGTATTTGCACCGGAGTATGAGTTAAAATTAGCACCTTTAAGCCTTTGAATACGGGTTTGTTATTTATAGGGCTTAATTAATTTGATTGTGTTTTTTCTTTAACTGCATTTACTTTTTCTAATAGTATCATAATCGAGGAAAAAGGTTTTTCCTTATATGGTGGACAAGAAGAGCGTTGAGTAATGTTATTACTTACTAGGGACTTTTGTGCATAATTTGACGAGTGAGTTGATTGTTCGAAAACTTATAGAAAGTGTGCTGTGAAGTGGTTAAATGGACAAAGATTTGGGGTCAGAGTCCAATCTTCCACCTGGATCAATTGATAAGTCCAGGGTTTTGGATTTGAAGCCGTTGAGATGTCTTGTCCCGGTATTCCCAACCGCACCTGGTATGTCATCTATCTCAAGTCCCCAGCCAGCACCCTTTGTGTGTGTTCCACCGACTGGTCCTTTCCCATGTGGGGTCCAACCATTTTACCCATTCGTGGTTCCAAGTTCTTCTCAACACACCACATCAAGTGTCCCCGACCAAGCAGGGAAATTCGGTTGTGGGACCCATAGACAGTCTCCTGTTCCACTGAATTCCTTTAGAACTCTGATAAACCCAGCGAAAGGTCGAATGAAGCAATCTAATAGGACTGCTACTTATGCATCAGGAAGCGTATCTGTAGAAGATGGGTATACTGATTCTCAGAATCAGAGTGATGTGGAGAATGCCAGCAATTCAGGGAAACGAAATGGCCGGCCAAGGAAGAAAAGAGACAGCAATGGAGACAACGTTGTTGAGACGATAGTTAATAACCTTATCACTTCATTTAAGCTTAACGAATTGGATGATTTTAGAAGAACCAGTGGCGACAAGGAGGTAGCTGGTACGATACTCTTGGTATTTGATTTGGTCAGGAGAAGGCTTACTCAAATTGAAGAAGCATCTCCTGTGATTTCTAAACATCCGAACCTGACGGCTGGTACAGTTTTGATGGCCAAAGGTGTTAGGACAAATAGCACAAAGAGGATCGGGCATGTACCTGGAGTTGAAGTGGGCGATATTTTCTTCTTTAGAATGGAGCTATGTATAGTGGGGTTACATGCTCCAATTATGGCTGGGATAGATTATATGGGTGCCAAACTTACCATGAATGAAGAACCTTTGGCCGTCAGCATTGTCTCATCTGGAGGATATGATGATCAGGGCGGCGATGGAAATGTGTTGATTTACACTGGCCAGGGCGGAGTGCAGAGGAAAGACGGGCAAGTGTTTGATCAGAAACTTGAAAGAGGGAATCTTGCTTTGGAGAAGAGTCTGCATAAGGCCAGTGAGATAAGAGTCATACGGGGTGTAAAGGATGTTAGCTGTTCGAATGGGAAGATCTATGTTTATGACGGCCTTTACAAAATTGAGGAGTCATGGATAGAAAAAAATAAGTCAGGATGTAATGTTTTCAAGTACAAATTGATTAGAAAACCCGGGCAACCTGAAGCATTTACGTTGTGGAAATCAATTCAGCAATGGAAGTATGGAAACGCCTCAAGGAGTGGGTTCATCCTTCCTGATATAACATCAGGTGCAGAGAGTCTGCCGGTCTCTCTTGTGAATGAAGTTGATGATGAAAATGGACCTGCTTACTTCAGATACAGTCCTATACTCAAGCACTCGAAGCCATTTTCTGCTCCTAAGCCTTTTTCAGGCTGTCATTGCCTGAATGGATGTCAACCAGGCAGTAGTAGCTGCCCTTGCAGCCAGAGAAATGGGGGATATCTCCCTTATACATCAGTCAGTGTCCTAATGTCTTACAGCTCCTTGATACATGAGTGTGGCCCTACCTGTGCGTGTCCTCCTAACTGCAGGAACCGAATATCTCAAGCTGGTCTGAAGGTACGTCTGGAAGTTTTTAAAACGAAGAATAGAGGATGGGGACTTAGGTCCTGGGATCCCATTCGGGCAGGTGGATTTATTTGTGAGTATGCAGGGGATGTCGTTGATGCATCTAGGATAGGTGATTTCGGGAATGAAAACGAAGATAATTATATTTTTGATTCGACTCGCAACTATAAACCATTGGGATCTGTACATGATGATTCTAATGGTTCTTTAAAAGTCCCATTTCCCCTCATTATAATTGCAAAAAATAATGGCAATGTAGCTCGTTTCATGAACCATAGTTGTTCGCCAAATGTGTGTTGGCAGCCAGTTTTACTTGAAAGTAATAGCAATGCACACGTCCATGTTGCTTTTTTCGCCATCAGACATATTCCTCCAATGCAAGAGTTAACATATGATTATGGGATGGTTTCATCTGAGAAAGGAATCCATGGAAGAAAAAAGTGCTCTTGTGGATCGGTGAAATGCAGAGGCCACTTCTATTGATTGTCAATGCCAAGTAAAACGGTGGATCTTGATACTTGATGCCTCTTGCAAAAGGTTGGTTATTTCCTCCCTCTCACACCATTGAACTTCTAAATTGATTCTTGTTCTCTCGCTTTAGATGCTCTCATTTTTATGTTTCTTCCAGAAAATTGTATGACTTGTTTAGCGGTCTGTTCACTTCAGGGTAATTTTTATGAGAAATAGATTTAATGAATTCTGAAATATGCACTTTGAATGTTGTATTTCATTGGATTTGTAGACCTAATCATTGATCATGTCTAACAAATTTAACTCAAATGGATATAGATTATCTTAAACAGAAGGGCGAAGGATTTCAAATTCTTGTGAGCGAAAACTGCTTGGATTTCCAAATCCTTGAGAGTTTAGTGCCTTCTTAATAAACAAAACAGGAACTTGGACAGCAACTCGGTTGTTCATTAGCCTGTATCTGGTGAATATATTTTTGTAAAGAAAACTTGAGCATGTTGGATTAAGATAATTGGGAAAGAGGAAAGGCTTGAGTTAATAAATTGGCCGTAACTTTAATCTCTTAAACATTTGATGTCCATCCTGTGTAGCAGTGTGGTATGTTGATGAGTCTCATTAGGGTGGTGTTTTGCGCGTGGTTTTGTGACTTAAGTCTGACTGTTGATCTTGATCCGACCCTTTGAAACTTCAACTAATTTAAGGATTAAACCAAAACTCAGAGACTGAATGAAGTTACCCTCCTGCTTCTTTATGGAAAGTTTTCTCTGAACTTGTAACAATTGACATCTAATTTTGATGTTTATAACAAATGTCCCTCCTATCTTGATTTTTGTTGGAAGTCAGAATTCGAGAATGTACGTTTATTTCATGATCCTTGATATGTACCCTGTAAATTTGTAATCTGAAAGTCTAATTAAATGCTGTTGCAAACGCTGTAGGTACAGCGTCAACATAAAGATTAATGTCTTCTGCATCTGCAGTGCTGCACGTCGTTTGCCCTTAATTCATCGTAGGAAATTGCAGCCAAATGTGTGTTGGCAGCCAGTTTTACTTGAAAGTAATAGCAATGCACACGTCCATGTTGCTTTTTTCGCCATCAGACATATTCCTCCAATGCAAGAGTTAACATATGATTATGGGATGGTTTCGTCTGAGAAAGGAATCCATGGAAGGAAAAAGTGCTCTTGTGGGTCGGTGAAATGCAGAGGCCACTTCTATTGATTGTCAATGCCAAGTAAAACTGTGGATCTTGATACTTGATGCCTCTTGCAAAAGGTTGGTTATTTCAACCCTCTCACACCATTGAACTTCTAAATTGATTCTTGTTCTCTCGCTTTAGATGATCTCATTTTTATGTTTCTTCCAGAAAATTGTATGACTTGTTTAGCGGTCTGTTCACTTCAGGGTAATTTTTATGAGAATTAGATTTAATGAATTCTGAAATAGGCACTTTGAATGTTGTATTTCATTGGATTTGTAGATCTTAATCATTGATCATGTCTAACAAATTTAACTCAAATGGATATAGATTATCTTAAATAGTGACAGTTTCAATCATAATATCAATGGATTGGAGGGCGAAGGATTTCAAATTCTTGTGAGCGAAAACTGCTTGGATTTCCAAATCCTAGAGAGTTTAGTGCCTTCTTAATAAACAAAACAGGAACTTGGACAGCAACTCAGTTGTTCATTAGCCTGAATCTGGTGAATATATGTTTGTAAAGAAAACTTGAGCACGTTGGATTAAGATAATTGGGAAAGAGGAAAGGCTGGAGTTAATAAATAGGCTGTAACTTTAATCTCTTAAAACATTTGATGTCCATCCTGCGTAGCAGTGAGGTATGTTGATGAGTCTCATTAGGGTGGTGTTTTGCGTGTGGTTTTGTGACTTCATTCTGACTCTTGATCTTGATCCGACCCTTTGAAACTTCAACTAATTTAAGAATTAAACCAAAACTCAGAGACTGGATGAAGATACCCTTCTGCTTCTTTATGGAAAGTTTTCTCTGAACTTGCTACAATTGACATCTAATTTTGATGTTTATAACAAATGTCCCTCCTATCTTGATTCGTACAGGAAGTCAGAATTCGAGAATGTACTTGTATTTCATGATGCTTGATATGTACCCTGTAAATTTGTAATCTGAAAGTCGTTAAATGCTTTTGCAAACGCTGTAGGTACAGTGTCGACATAAAGATTTAACGTCTTTTGCATCTGCAGTGCTGCACGTCGTTTTCCCTTAATTCATCGTAGGAAATTGCTCGTCTCAAACTGAAATATCCGATTTTGCAGAGGTATGCAAATGAACCGGAATATGAGTTCTCGATGACAGAACCGTTACTTTTGTTAGTTGTGTAGCACTGGAAAGTGGAAACTGAGTTAGATGGAGTTTGTTAATTTTGTTAGCTTCCTTCGTGCATACTTGTCTAGTTTAATCTGATACTAGCTGCTTTTGTAATAATCATTTGGTGTTTATCCCACTTTTTTCGGTAACTTCATTAGGATCCGCCTTAGTGAAGGACTTTGATCTTGATTTCCTTTTCCAGGTCGAAAAAAAAAGTTGCTTATTTTTATAGTAGTGATGCTGGTAAGTGTTGCTTTCAAAATAAGTAACTTGTTTATTTCCGATTTTAACTTAAAATGTTGTGTGTCTAATCTCAACCACTCACTTTCATATTCAGATTGAAATCAACGTTGCTTTTTTTCTTTTTTTCGAGGCCAAACCAAGTGTACAAATTTCATATACTTTAACAATTAAATAATTATTTATACATACCTTTTTGAAAAATAAGTAAAATTATTAATAAATTCTATTTGACAAAATAAAAGTAATCGATGGAAAATATTTGTTGGTATCACCAATGAACTTGTCGTGATTCAATATGACAAACACTAAAGATTATTGTTTTGTTCATTCTCATAATTTTTTTTCTTAAAAAAATTCTTTTTAACGTATGCAAGAATAATGTAAATTTCGTAATTGATTACATACTAATTAAAAATACATATATATACTGAAATTAATGAAATAAAAATAATTCAAGAGAAAATATTATTTTGAAGTCGTGCTTTCAACTTAATAAAAAAAAAAATTGTATAAAAGAAAAGTTTTTGTGCTTGCACGTTACTTGCCGCCATTTATTCATTTCCCATTAAACAATAATTATTACAAAGACGTTAGGAGCATATGTGTTCAAAATAATATCATATTTAAAGCAGCTTTGCATTATGCATATATTCATTTTAAAATGTAGATTTAAAATAATTTTCACGAGTAAAATAAATTATCTCTTGTTAAACTTATAATTGAAATAGAACGTATAAAAATTACGAATTCAAATCTAGACGATATCTGTTTATGATAATTGTAACTGTGCGATGAATTTAATGTAAAATACGAATTCAACCTTTACACGAAGGAGTATGATAATTATAAAATTCTTCAAAACGAAATTTTTTTTGATAATTTGTATGCATGTTCTTCAACTTTTAGGATATTTTGAACTTCTATCTTTCACAATTTTCATTCAAGAAGTAACTCAACAGTGGAGACAAAAGTCTTATTGAGTTCACCCCACCCCTACCCTACCCTACCCTACCGTAGGCAGATTCAAAGGAGAAGTTAGTTAAGTGACACCTTATAGAGAGAACATACCAGAAAAAAAAATAAAAATCAATTCTTTAATAAAAATGTGAATCTTTAAAACACAAGAATTTTTAACGACATTCTTCCTGGGAAATCCCGTCTGTCTGTGCCAGGAAGAAGAGAGCAAAAGGCAGCTGGTTCTTCATCATATTCTAAACCTCTCTCTCTCTCTCTCTCACACACACACAGACATTCTGTAGCCAACCAGATTTACCATTTTCTTGTAATCCAAACGACAACTCGTGAGGGTCCGATGTTTTGATATGTAATATAAAGACCCGACAGAACACACAGGTTTTGGATTTTGACGTGTTTTGCTCATGTGGGATTTTGTTGAAGAAGAAGAGAAGAGAAGGGTTTTCAGTTTTGTGATTGGAAATTAACAGCTTGAATTGATTTCCGGGTTGTTGGCTTTTGGGCTACATGGACCAAGGAAAACCCAAACCAAAGAGGCTTTATCAAGTTTGGAGAGGAAACAATGTGAGTCATTTCTTTTTGTTTATTGATTGTGAAATTATTGCATTTAATCATTAGAGAAAAAATGGTTTAATTTGATTAGAGAAAGTGGGTTTTTGGGAACGAATTATTCAGCAAGTACAGAAAAAAAGGGACAGAAATTGTATACGGCAGCACCTGTATGGCTGCATTTTTTTGTGTTCTTATCGTCTTTCGTGATAATATGTCAAGTGTCCATCTGTATGATTTCTCTGAAAATATTTTAATACCTATAGCATTGTTGTTTTGGCATATGTGGATTCTCCCATTTCATATTCAAGATCTTGCTGTTTGAATCACCTGACCAAATGTCTGATTCCTTTATTTGGGGTTATAGTTTTTACTAAAATGACAATGTTTTATGGCTTGGAATTCAAATTTTATGCTTAGGTTTCCAATACTCATTCAATTTAATGTTCTGAATTGACTTAACTGTTGTTGAACCATCTCATCCATAAGTACACACACTTTTTAACCTTAAATTTTGTGCTCAACTGTCCTCGCATTCGTTTTCAAGAAACAATTACACGCGTACAATTTTCATAAATGGAAAATGGGAGATTGATCTCAGTATCTCTATCTGAACAGATAATCATGTTTTGAAGTCTTCAAATTAAAGTTTAAACTGTTAGGATAAATTGATTTAGACTATTATATCTTCATGGTGCCTTTGAAATCAACTGGTTTTTTAATCCCACAGACCATCTGAGTAGAATTTTGATAGTGATGATAAGCCGACAAGCGCTGCAGTTGATTTTTCATATTATGTTGTCTCAATTTTCATGGTGACTGTGCACTAGTGAACATTGAGATTATAGTACCCGTATTCCAGTTCCATTATTTCAATCGATATTAAGCATTCACTTTGATCTCAATTGTTTTTTTGTTCTGTTTAATGCTCCAGAGATTCTTATTTGGAGGAAGATTCATCTTTGGTCCCGATGGCTCATCGTTGTTTTTATCAACATTCCTAATTGTAGGCCCTGCACTTGGGTTTTGCATTAAAATATTCTCCACCATCAAACATCAAGAAAACAAAAATGCAATGCATTGGTATTCGGTACTTATCGTGGCAATAGTTTTAACCATTCTGGTAAGTAAACATCAATAATCGTATAAGTTAAAATTATTTCTCATATTTTGCTGAGGGAGCATGCACCCTCGGGAACCTATTAATATTTTTCTGAACTCATGGTTTGTGTATTTTCCTTTTGAGTGTCGAAGATTGACCAAGGTGCTAGACAGGCACTATGTGGAATTGAAGTGCACATTATCTGTTTAGAATTCAGATTTATTTTAGTTTTTTTTATTATTGTGACTTTAAACATTGTTGATTATTTCATTGCAAGATAACATTCAACTCTAGCACGGTTGAAAGTTTCTATACAGATCCCTTGAAATTTTTAAAAAATATTTCCATTATAAAAGAAATGCAAGGAAATTTCAAAACTCTATATAAGACTTTCAATAAAATCAATTTTGTCTTAATTCTTTCATTTAAAGTAATCAGTATCAGTGGAAGTTATATCATATAAACAAGTTTTCTTCTCAACAAGTGAAGATCGAATAATTAAAATCAAAAGATCGGTTTATGTAAAATATACAAGGTTTCCACGGCCTTCCAACAATGTTCGCAAAATGATTCAAAAAGTTCTCGTTTTCCGAAACATTTGAAATCAATCAAACTTTTCTGTCTGTCTATAATTTCACTTCTTTGTGTAGTTATGTATAATTCTTTCCGAATAATAGCTTTATTCTGCCTTAAATTTCATTAAGAGAACGTTTTCTTGATATTTAGTTCCTCTAAATACTCATATAGAACTGAGATTAACGTGCATTGAATATCTTATCAATTTTAGATAGTTTGTTGATATTTGGATTTAATGCAGGATATAATGTTTCTCTTCCTAACATCCAGCAGAGATCCTGGGATTGTACCTCGGAATTCAAGCCCTCCCGAGTGTGATGAAACATTTGAGATGAGCACCCCTTCAATGGAGTGGGTCAATGGGAGGACTCCTCATTTGAAACTTCCCCGAACAAAGGATATGATCGTGAATGAGCACACTGTTAAAGTGAAGTTCTGCGAAACATGTTTGCTTTACCGTCCTCCCCGTGCATCTCATTGCTCCATCTGCAACAATTGTGTTCAGAGATTTGATCATCACTGTCCATGGGTCGGTCAATGCATTGGCATAGTAAGTACTGCACCATGATTGATAGGATATAAGGTGTTATTGGGTTTAATACACTGGTTATCTGCACTAAACTATTAGTGATACATCTTGTTGGTTACCGATTTTGTTTTCTTTCAAGTTGATAAATAAACTTAAACTTTGCAATTTGATCACTGCATCAATGTCCATCAGTTTGGCTTACACAAAATGATGTGCCAGGCTAGTTCTTTGGTAAATAGCTACCCACTAGATGGTCACATCAAATTTTCCGTTAGTCAAACTTACGAAAGTTGGATGAAATGAGCAAATTGTAACTAGCTTTTAAGTTAATCGACCAACTAAATGATGAAAAAAAAAAAAAATACTAAAATTTAGCAACTGCAAGTGTTTTCATCCCGTTATTATATGAGCTTATTCAGTCACCAATCACCTTTATAATATTTGGCTGGCAATTATCTTGGTGGTGATAAAATCAATTATTATGTTCAACTTGGTTTGAATGCACGTGAGAGATTCTTTGTCCTGTGATAATTCTGTTATCATGTATATGAAATCATTTTACGATATTAAAGTAAGGAATTCACAATTGTCAACTGTAGAAAATCACATATTAGTCATGTACTACTCCATGTTCAGTTTTCCTGCTTTAATCCCAAAATATTATGTCTTTTTGTTACCACCCAATATGTGCTGATTGTAAAGCTGCCTGTTGCCTATTTTTATCTGCACGTCAAATTTCTTATATGCTTGGGAAAATTATTTATGAAATTGTTTCTGCAAATCCTGGTCATATAATGTCTACTAGTCATGTAAATAAGTTGCAAATTGCAATACATAAATCAGTTAAGGGTCCATGTTTTCTTGATACTATGATTCTGATACTCCATCCCTTGTTCAACACGAGAAAATTGTTTGAGTGGTAATTGTAATTTTGAGTTATGTACACCATGGACAACCAACAAAGAGCATCCTTGAGCTTCTCTGTCATGTCATTCTAGACATTCTCATTTCTCGAGGAAGAAAAGTTAAGATCATGTACATATGTTTAGGCACTACTTGCGTTGTATTGATACATCTAAATTTACGATCTCCTTATGAAAGAAGAGTCAAAATTGTCACAACAGATTCACCATCATTGCACCTAAACTGGGCACTCTAGTACAAGGATATAAACTGTGCAGAATTGATATTTTCATAACCATGGGGAGTATTAGACTCTGAGTGGTGGTGATATATATTGCTTTTCAGTTGTTTAATTATAAATTCACGGAGAAGATTAAATGACGTTACACATACACAACGTGTATGATCCTCTACCAATTCGAAATGAACTTATATGTTTTACAAATATATCTGACAACACAGCTCAACGAGAAAACTATAAGCAATGGACTCAATATTATCAAATAATCAAAGATATTGATGGAATACTATGTTCTCATTTGGTTTGGCACTTACTATTCTTTCCATAAGTAACAGGAACATCTTTCATGCTGTTTTTGCAGCGTAATTATCGGTTCTTCTATATGTTTATATCAACATCGACGATTTTATGCATATATGTCTTCGTGTTCTCTTGGATCAACATTCTTCATAAAAAAGGCAGCACGTGGAAAGCCATGTCACGTGATATTTTGTCAGACGTTCTATTAGTGTACTGCTTCATTGCCGTTTGGTTCGTGGGTGGCCTTACAGTTTTCCACTTCTATCTGATTGGCACAAATCAGGTGCGTTTTCTATAAGTTTCCCAGAAATTTTATTACCAGAAAATATATTGATTACTTTCACCTATTTGCTGCTGAATGTGACATATGCATAATTTCTTTTGCACACCTATTCTAACTTATTAATGCTGCGTTCATAGGTCATCTGTATAGTACTAGCATACTTGACTTGCTTCTTGTTAGATTGAATTTCCATGCGTAGTTCAGTTTAGGGCGAAGGCCAGACACTTGGAGAAGTTACTGGGTGCAATCTGGGAATCATTTCTTCAATCAATTCAAAAATGTTTAAGATTCAAATCCAATCTACTGCTCCAGTGTTATCCACTTACGCAAATAGTAGTAGCTCTTAGTCGTAAATTAATTGGCAAGTTTTCTTTGTCCAGCTTTCTTTTCCCTTTCATATATGAAGTGACTATATTCTTTTAATATGTTGAGTCTGTGCAGATGACTGGCTGTTTACTATTCTTCAATAATTTGTGATTTTTCAATTTGTTTTTCCACAAGGCATATAATCCCAATCACGATTTTAACATTTTTGGGTTCTCACCATGTTCTGTAAGATGCTTCAGCAGTGAATATTTGAGAGGAGAATCCATTTTGTTTCTTGATCAGTTACTTCTTACACACTTGAAATCACAAATCAATGCACATAAATAAGTCTATCTTTCCAATGTTTGATGGCAAATAATGTTGATTTTTTCCATTAGGTGTAGGCTTGCATCACATATGACACTCTTAACTCTAGCTCCTTTGCAGACTACGTATGAAAACTTCAGATATCGTTATGATAAGAAGGAAAACCCATATAATAAAGGGGTGATCAGAAACCTCAAAGAAGTCTTTTTCTCGAACATCCCACCGTCTATGAATGATTTCCGAGCATACTTCGAAGAAGATGAAAGTGTGGGTGTGGATCCCACAACTGCTGAGTTCATGGGAAGTATCACTACCTCAAAAGAAAAAATTGACTTTGAAATGAGAACTAAATTTGCTGAGGAGAACGGCCTTTCACTTCCTGAAATTTTGAGAGTTTTGGAATATGATGACATTGAGACTAACATGAAAGAGGAGGGGAATGACAGAACTGATTTGGATCCACTTCTCTTTCTGGATGAACAAGAACTCAAGGACGAGGCTAATGGCAAGGAGAAACTAGATGAAATTACAACCTCTGATCAAATCACGGGATCAGGTCAAAGATAAGTTTTAGGTATCATTCTTTGTTTACTATCCTATATATGGACGCAGTGCAATGTTCTTTTTTCTTTGATCTCTTGGCCAGTATTGCTTACATTCTATTACGTTTCTTCACTAACCGAATCAAGGAAATTCTTGTTTTGAAAGATACGAGTTAGTGACAGTTTAATTTCTAAGATATTTGACACTGCCACTTGCATGTATTGTTTTTAACAGTCACTCTGATGCCTGACAAACTTGAAAGCAGTTATCTGTGTTAAAGATAAGGAAATATCGTCTTCGTTGTATTTTCTTGATTCTATCATATTGTTTCTCAGATAGTTTGATTGTGTAATTAATGTTGGTCTTACTCTTTGTTATTTTTTCATTGTTTGTTTATCAATAATGGTCTACAGTTTCTAACTTTTTGTTGAAAGAATCAAGACAAATTTTATATGTACACTTCGCATATTTTGTTATAGCGGTTCAAAAATAGTGTCATTACACTATTTCTTCAAGAGCTATATGAAGTGGCAGTTTGCCTGGGGGGCTCGATGTTGATCAGGTTCTAGCTTCGCTAAAATTTTCATCTCCACGGGAAAATATGTAATCATTTAGCCGTCGATTCTAAATGCCTGGGTATCATTAAATAAATGTTGAACTAAAACAATAAAGCGAAGTACAGAGGTAAATAAAAAACCATGACATATTTAGAACACACAAAATTCAAGCACAATCCATTTCTTGTCGTCATTCTTCTTTTCAGATAGATTTTTTTCCCTGGTTCATGGGTAAAGTGACCAATTGATATTTGTTGAAGAATCAGCTATATTTCTTAAGTCTTAACGAGATATTTCATTTTCTTGACAGGTTTGGTACAAGGCGATCTGTTTCTTCGAGGAAAATCGGATTTGCAGTGTTAAATGACTTAACCGCGTTCTCAGAATTAAAATGTTTCCAGATTGTTGTTCTTGTTGGTAGCATCATACTGTGAGGCAGAAAGTCTCAACGGTACAGAAATAATTCAGCATCTTGCAACAGAATGACTGAGCAGTCCTGTAAGAGTGAAACTTGTAGATAGGTTGATCTCTAGTGTCTCTCGTTCTTTATTTTTGTTTTTTTGAACTTCTTGTTTTCTTGATTTTGTTTCTTGACATCCATTATTCATTCTTAGATTCAAAAATAAGGTTGGAGGTAGTGGTAGATCCAGGATTTTGAGTAAACATGGACGGCCATTAACGGCCGCAATAATAATCAATACCGTGAACTGAAATTACTTATATCATGGTTCAAATTATAAGTGTGGGTGTACATTATCTATCAATCTAATAATATTTATAGAGTAACAATTTGAAATTTGAAAAAAGGGTCCAGTTATTTACTTTCTCGATTCGATTTGATCAAATTTCAGTCTAACAGAAAAAAATGACTATTTTAATAATTTCATTATAAGATCGGATTTTAGTTTTTAAAAAATTAAAAACAAAGGAGGAATATATCTAAGAATATATAGAATTTTGTTATATATAATAGCAACATACACCAAATGTCATAGTGGTCAAATGTTTTATAATTCCAATAAAGAATATTAAGCTATATTTGCAAAAGGGGAACATGTAGAATTTTGTTACATATAATATTAACATACATCAAATATCATAGTGGTCAAATATTTATAATTCCAATGAAGAATATTAAACTATAATTGCAAAAGGGGATTACTACCGTTGATAGTCGAACCCAAAATTCTCATTTACTTATATGGTACTCTCGTCAAATGAACTACAAGAACTTGTTGAGAATAAAAGGAAATCACACACACACACATATGCGAATCCAGTACGAGCGGCCGCAGGAGCTCGCCAAGTGCTGGATCCACCACTGATTGGAGGCATTAACAAAATTGTACAACATAGAGACAAAATGTGTTTTGAATCTTGTTTAAAATGAATCTTATTCTTTTCCCCAAGTTGAATTTACTTGTGAAATAGTCATTTATGCACTACATAAAATGATAGAAATACTAGTGAATAATCTGCTTAAATTCACAGCGTGTTTGGTAAAGTAGATTGGACAATACTAGATAGCAGAAAACTCAGAACAATACTAAACTTACATCGGATGATAAATTGATTAGATACTTAATTTTATATTTCGTTTATTAAAACATAATTTAAACAAAACCTTTAACAAAATTGATACCGACGTTGATGTGGCCGAACTTGATTGACTTTTTTTTTTATCTTCCAATGTTGTCAAGGCAAGTGTTGTATGTCAAAATTTTCTGTTAAAAAAATTTGTACTTATAGCGTGATTGATTCATTAGTTTATAAATAATTTCAAATATTGTAGAATTAAATTAAAATTTTTAACTATTAAATACTATGTGAATTTAGCCCCATGTTTGTCTATCATTCTCCAAAAACTTTTTTTTTTCCAAAACTCATTTTCAACAATACATTCTCATAATAAAATATTTTGCATGTAAATTCAAATTTTTTTCCAACTTTTTAATCACACATTCCCAAAAAAAAAAAAAAACTCCTTCTAATGGGCATCAATTATTTTCTTGTTATTCCATTATATTGAGTGTATTTGATTAGCTTTATTTCCTATGAAAAATATTATTTTTTCACAAAATTTTTACTTTTGGGATGTTTGATTGATAATTTTTTTCAACTTTTGATCATGTCATCATATTTTCTTCAAAAACCAGAAAAATATTTTTCTTAGAGAGTTGTGCTTTTTACTTTTCAGGCCGTTCTCTCTCTCTCTCTCTCTCTCTCTTATTTATCCCCTTTCTCATTTACCCACAAATAAAAAATTGAAAAGTATAATATTTTATAGATTGAAAATTAAATCAATCAAACACATTTAATTAATAATTGTTATACAAATAATTTCTACACAATTGAATTACTTTCCGTGCAAATTCCAATCAAACGCACCACGAATAAAATTCCAAAATAAAAATGGTATGAATGATTTTGGATCTTGATTGTAGGTTTTAAGGATGAGAGGCATTGGTTTGATTGATTCGAGGTTTGGTTTTGAGCGTTGATTCAAGGTATACAATTTTGGACTTTTTTTTCCTTCAATTGCATGTAAAAATTTTGAATTTTTTTTTTTGCACCATGGACAGCTCAGAAAGTATTTTTTTCAGATCGCGACTTCAAATTTTTGGGGTTAATTTCAGTCTGTTTTTATTTTTTATGAATGAACAATCGCATCTAGAAACGTTATATTAACATTTCTTTTTCTCGTATATTCTTTGAAAAGTTGATACTTGTTATTTATTTAAGATTAACAAGCGAAAGAAGTGTCATTGGCACTGAAAATAAGGAGTCACGATGATACTGGACATCATCGAAAGATGTTCCAAAATTAAGAATATTTAGTGCTTGTTTGGGAAGGATTTTTGGGGGANATAGCCCCTGTTTGAGCCACATTATTTTCACAAGAATGCATTTTTTGTTTGATGTGATGGGGAATATGTGGTTGAAAAAGAAGGAAAAATTATTGATGTGATGGAAAATATTATTTTATTGAAGAATGTGTGGTTGGAAATGAGAATTGATTTGCTGTAGAATTTTGAGAATCCCTCCCAAACAGGGTCTTATTATAAAAGAAAAGAGGGTTTTTTTTTTTTCTTAGACGAATTTCACTATCTCAAGTGACTTTCACCAAGAAAATTCTTTAGCCGATTTTAATAAAAGTTGATGAAACGTGTAATTGAAAAGTTTTGAATCCCATAAATATGTGATTAAATTAATTGTTGACTTTGATTTAGATTAAAATATAGATTTTAATTCAGACCAAACAGAGGCATAGCAAATTTGTCGATTAAAGAAATATTATTAATTTATCAAAAAATGGGATTAATGGTATTATAGTGTTTAATTTGTCTAATTTTATTTATTACATACTTGTTTATAATATATTTTATATTTTGTGAGAGAAACAAACATAAAAAAATTGACGTGCTTTTAATTATCCTCGAAATATTTTTCCAATACAATTTAAAGTGCAATTATGTCACTAGCATTTTTTTCCATCGACCGCTTTGGAGCCATTTGACTTATTTCAAGGAGGCAAGGTCCAATTTATGAAAAATAGATAGATATTTAGCTCATAATTGATGGAGATTAGAATAACATTTTTAATATATTTTGATAAAAGTTAACTAAAATGTATGGTCGAAAAATTATGGATCTCGTAAAATATGTGATTAATATTAATCGTTTATTTTAATTTAGATTAAAACTTTAATTTTAATTTCTACCAAACTTCATAATTAGTGATGCTACCAAAAATTGCACCTGGTCAATTTCGAGCTTGACGACTGATAGTTTGCATGAACGCGATATTTCGGTACCTGAAACAAAGGAGTCGATGGGTGTCCTCGTCGCCCCTCCGATGCTTAAGTCAGAGAGAGAATATAGAGAAAATATATGCTAAAAAATATATGTAACAACGTACCTTTATAATGATCTGATGTTCCATATATATAGAAGTAGGTGGTGCATTCCTGGTGGGACTCGTCACCTTATTTTTAGGAATATCTTATGAAAAGATTAGTGTTGGTTTAAAACTAGAAGTCTTAACTTTCCATGCGTTGCAAGATAGAATCCTTATAGACTTAGAACTCTTAATTTATGGTGATCCAGTTGGGTTAATGCTCTTTCGGGATAAGAGCTAGCAGTGTTTGAATAGTGTGAGAATCTTGGTAAAGGCAATCCCGAGCACGCACTCCCGATGAGTGCTACTGTGATTTTTGGGGTCGATTCGTCAAGCATGTCGTCGAGCTATCTCGAGGACATTACATATCCCGAGGACTAAGGCCCACCAATTGAGGGATGGGGCCATTGGAAGCCCTCGAGCTCGAGATGGCTCCATTACTGACAATATCAATTAGCATTGGGAATTTATTAATGGAATTACGTAAAAATAAGTTAGGACGTGTTTGATTGTCAATATTTCCATGAAAAATGTGTTTTTTCACTTAATTTTTTGCTTTTGTGCTGTTTGATTGATAATCTTTTTTACGAAAAATATTTTCCTACTTTTGATCACGTGATCATATTTTCCTTAAAAAAAAGGAAAAATTATCTTGAGGGGAGATGTGGTTTTTATTTTTCAGGAAATTTGCTTTCTCATTTATCCCCCCTTCATCTATTCACCAATAAAAAAGGGACAAATATAATATTTTCTAAATTGAAAATTAAACAATAAAACACATTTAATTAATATTTTTCATACAAATAATTTTTAGGCAATTGAATTGTCAAAAATTTATTTTTTTTATGCAAATTTCATGCTCTCAATCAAATACACCCTTAATGTTTAATTATTAAAAAAATTAGTAATGATTAATACTAGGAATGAATCTTTCAAAATAAAAATAAAATATTAGGAATGGATAAGCATTGTAAAATGTTCTTCTGGCAAACGAGGCCTTAAGTTTGACACATTATCAGTTGGTTTCTGAAATTGGAAAACTGATCGTTTAATTTTACAGCTAATTAGCCCCATTTCTAGATCGAGAAATGTAATCTTACCTTTGGATGTATCTGAAATCTGAATCTCAAACCCTAAAATTTCTCTCTGTTATTGTAAGTTTTTCTTCTCGAGCCTGTTTTTTCTTTTTTCCCTTCCTTTTCCGATGATACTTTGATTGAGTAATAATTGAACTATTGTATGCGCGATTCTGTGGAGAATTTGATTTTCGTTTATGTTGAAATTATTATTTTCTTTTTTGGAGAAATCGTTTGAGGATTTTAAATTTTCATGATAGTATTCTATACTTGGAAGAAGAAAGTTGGATTCCGAAATTGCTTCTCATGATTTTCTGTAATTATTCTGTTTTGTATGAACATTTGTTAATTTGAAATCCAATATGTTTCATCAAATAGGATCTTGGCTTTTAAGGTCTTAATTGCTTGAATGATTCTTCAATTTCTTGAAACTGGATGAGCTGCTACTTCATTGATTAGGCACACTTGGTATTAGAAAAGTTAATTTCTCTCCATCAGTCTAAATTTGTTTTGATTGCTTCATGTGTGGAACTTTGAGAAAATTAATGCAGCACATGGTAGCTTGATATTCTTTTCTTTTTCATGGATTGTAGAACAGAATTGCACTACTTTTTTGGTCTACACCTACAGATGGAAAATGATATCATTGGCGCAATGAAATTTTTGGGTCCAATCCTTTTTTTTTTAATGTGAAATCTAACTTGTTGATTGCATATGAAATTCTTAATTTACAATTCTACGTCTGTGGTTCTTATAGGAAAAAGATGGGTCAAGCACTTGGTTGCGTTCAAGTGGATCAGTCTACTGTTGCAGTGAAGGAACGTTTTGGCAGATTTGATGATGTGCTCGAGCCTGGGTGTCATTGCTTGCCTTGGTGTCTGGGGTACCAATTGGCAGGTTCACTATCATTGCGTGTACAACAGCTTGATGTCCGTTGCGAAACCAAAACTAAGGTGATTTTCCATTTCACTTGATAGTTCACATTTCCAATCTGTGGCTGTAAATATATCAGCATGTGAACATTTGTTTTTATCATACAGCTAAATATAATTTCCATAGCGATTCATACTTGCCTAGTGTTATTTGGATCAAATACAAAAATATGGTTATAGGGTGTTCGTGTGCAGTTAATAATTTTTTGTCCAGAATATTTGCATATGAACTTTATGTCAGTCGGACCTTTTTCCAGAAAATAGTCCTTCACAATCTTTTTCATTTTTTCAAATGTCTTATTGACATTTACTATTTAGTGCTTGTTTGATTAAACTTTGCTAAAATAACATCAACTTTCAACTGGTCTAACTTTAATTTTAACCCCACATTTTATGGGATCCAAAACTTTTATCAACTTTTCAACTATAAATTTCATCATTTTTTTATCAAAATATGCTAAGCCCCTGTTTGGTTTAGATAAAAATCAGATTTGTAGTAGATTTTGATAGAAGTTAATGGAATATGTGGTTGAAAGTTTGCGGGTCCCGTAAAATTTGTGGTTAAAATTAATAGTTGATTTTGACTTGAATTTTAATGTAACTTTTTAGTTGAAACAAACAAGGGCTAAACTTTTATCGAAGGCTTTGTCAAAAAACCCTGACATTTATTCTGCTATAATATGATCAATTAATAAAGTATGAGAGCGGTTGACATTTCAGGACAATGTGTTTGTGACTGTGGTTGCTTCAATTCAGTATCGAGCCTTGTCTGAAAAAGCAGCTGATGCATTCTATAAGCTTTCCAACACAAAGGCACAGATCCAGGCATATGTTTTTGATGGTAGGATTTGAATTTATGTTCTTTAGTTATTTCTGTGGCAAAATAGAGACAATTGCAATGGAAGCTGTAACGCTAGCTTATTGACTTAAATTGGGATTTATATTGTTTGGTTTTGTGTGAGGCGAAGTGGAGGTAGGATCATGCTCCATTTTCTATCTTCCTGTGGTTACCATTACAATACAAGCCAAGGAACTCAAAACCACAAGCACCCTTTACTAGTTTGGTACTTATCACCCTTTGCTTCGGCTTTGAAGGTAAAAAATCATTGGATTATTGTCCGTAAATCATTATGGAGACTTCTTGGAGCAGTTCAAGTGTTTTGCTGACTTCTAAGTTGGTTAGAACTACCTATAGGTGTTAAGTGTCAGGTTATTGGTGAGGATCATTATGGAACTTGTAGTTTTGATATATTCACGAATTTTGGGATTGATTATTTCCTTTCCTCGAGTCCTTTTTGATTACCAGATCCACAGATACAGTGGCTCCTAGCTAATAATTACTCTTTTGGCGTTAAAAGCATTACGGTTTCTTATTAATGATAACGACGACTATAGTTGGAGAAATGTAATAGACTAACTGCAGATAGTGATTTTCATAATTCGGGATTTTGTATCAAAATTAATCGTTTAAACTGGTGTGAATCTTTTAGTCATAAGAGCAAGTGTCCCAAGATTGGATCTGGATTCTACTTTCGAACAGAAGAATGACATAGCCAAGGCTGTTGAGAACGAACTCGAAAAGGTTATGATTGCCTTTGATAACAGAAGCCATGTCTGTTCAATGACTATATTAGTTCAAACATCACTGTACATCATATGCATTCAACCTTTGCAGGCCATGTCTGCCTATGGATTTGAGATAGTGCAGACGCTGATTGTGGACATTGAACCAGATGCACAGGTGAAGAGAGCCATGAATGAGATAAATTCAGGTAGGTTTATCATTTATGAGATTTTTAATACTTAAAATCGTGAGCTGAAATACACTGCATATGAACATTCTTGCTCAATGATGTGACTGTCATTTGGCATATTTTTCCTTGGAACTGCATTTGCACTTCAACGAGATATAGGTTACAGGAAAACCATTTTATACATATATGATATAATGTTTGCTCCTTGTTTTCAATGGCGAAAAGTATGCTAAGAACTTTTTTTTTTCAAACATATTTGGATAAGTTATTTTTCTTTCTTTCAAGAAAAAAAAAATGTTATTTATTTTGAAAGTGACTTTTACATTATTGTCAAAATAAGTAATTTACTCATATTGAATTTTGATCAATGAGTATGTTCACTTGTTTGAAAATTTACTTACAAGTAAACTATTTAATCGTAGCCAATAATGCTTTACATACTATTTTCTTTATGTTTTCCTGTTATATCCCTTCGTGATTTTGCTAGCTAGTTCTTGAACCATGCTAATGCTTACTCTAATTATCTGTCAATGTTCAAAATAGCTGCTAGGCTCAGGCTTGCTGCTAACGAGAAGGCCGAAGCTGACAAAATACTGCAGATCAAGAGAGCTGAGGGAGAAGCCGAGTCTAAATACTTGTCGGGGCTTGGTATTGCTAGGCAGCGCCAGGCCATTGTAGATGGCCTCAGGGACAGTGTGCTCGCCTTCTCAGCAAATGTGCCTGGAACAACCTCTAAAGACGTCATGGACATGGTTCTTGTCACGCAGTATTTTGATACAATGAAGGAAATTGGAGCATCGTCAAAGTCCTCTGCCGTGTTCATCCCACACGGACCTGGTGCTGTCAAAGATATTGCTGCACAGATTCGGGAGGGTCTTCTTCAGGCTGAAAGTGTCAACCAGTAGTTAATGCAAAGGTTTATGGTAGGAGTCGTACGACATAGTTGTCTTCATTAAGGATGTTTCTTGTGTGCAGGTAGGTTTCTTTATGCTATAAGTTTGGAGGAAAATCATCATGAGTTGCTGCTGCTTGTATATCTCATATTACCTACCCTATGCTAGTATAGTGCTAAGATTTGAATTTTTTTTTCATTGTCAAAGGTTTGAGTTAATTTCATGTTTTCTTGAAATGTAAAATTTCTATCCCTGCAACGTACCAATATTATGAGTACAAATTTGTTCTCCAAATTCCTGTCATGTACTAAAAATTTGCCTCGGCGTCCCTAAGCCTTTGTTTGACAATCATTATTTGAAAATTCTTTTGTTTTTTTGCATACCAATTTTCAATCATGCATTCATAAAATAAAATATTTCGTACATAAACTCAAAATTTTTTCTACTTTTTAAGCACACGTTTTTTTAAAAATCACTATTCAAAATATCATTTTTTGAAAATAATGGCCACGAAACAGGGGCTAATTAGTGTGTGTTGGTCTCTCATTACTGTAGAAGAAATGGAGTAATGAATAGTATTTTTTGGAGAATGTGTTGTTGAAATTTAAGCCCCCGTTTGTCTAGCATTAATCCAAAAAATTGTTTGCTACTGTAAGATTTTCCATCACACATTCACCCAATAAAATATTCTACACACAAACCAATAAAGGTACTTTACTTTTCAATCACACATTCTTCAAAAAATACTATTCATCACTCTATTTTTCTCCCAATAATAGGAAACAAAAAATGGAACGAAGTAACTTAAGCCCCTGTTTGTCTACCATTAATCCAAAAAATTGTTTGCTACAGTAAGATTCTCCACCACACATTCACCCAATAAAATATTCTACACACAAATCAATAAAGTTACTTTAATTTTCAACCACACATTCTCCAAAAAATACTATTCATTATACTAATTTTCTCCCAATAATGGGAGACAAACAAGCTTTAAAGTAATTTTATTGGTTTGTATGTAGAATATTTTATTGGGTGAATGTGTGATGGAGAATCTTACTGTAACAAATAGTGTTTTAGAATAATGAGAGCCAAACGAGGTCTTAATGTGATGACGATTCATTTTAATTTTTATCACGACATTATTGTCTACAATAAATTGGATCGCACTCGACTATCTACACTTCATATCTATTGTATAAATTTATTGTCACGTATCAAGTAGAATTTACTTACGTGAAAATTACACAGACAGATATTTTAAGTTACATTTTCAAAAATCAGATTTTAAGTTTGTTTATACAAAAATTAAATGAAAATTTAATATTAATAATACTTTTATAAAATTAAATTAATTTATAAACAACCCCACCTCCATCAGATCACCTCATTGCCCCAAGCCCTAAATTTTCATTCTCTCTACCTCTCATCTCGCTCGTTGTCGTCACTGGCACCGGCATGGCACCAACGCTGCTGTAGAGTCGATCTATTGGAGTTTTGCTTTGTTTGGTGGTTTGATTGCAGCGCCGCCTCGATCCGATCTGTAGTTATATTTTGTACGATGATTTGAGCGCAGCCTCGATCCGTTCTAATGGAGTGGTGGTTGCTACATCGGCACCTTGATTGCATCCGCGCTGGGTGATCTGCGATGCAAGGGGTAACGACGCTATGAGGGGCGCTGCATCATTATGCACTGGTGATCTTTGCGTGTAATAGAAAAAATGATGAAATTTATGGTGGGTGGTGGTGATTTGGGCATACATGTAGGTAAACTCTGAACAGTTAACCGAATTAAAAGAAGTAATTGACAAATTGCAGTGGACAGAAGAAGAAAATATTGCAGTTGACAGAAGATAAAATTGGCGTCTTTGAAGCCGGGGCCTGTGTCGAACACAGTGTCCTTAAAGCAATATTCGCCCCCTCACCGAAGTAATGCGAGCGCTTGCTTCCCAGGATACAGCGGCGTGAACTGTAGTTTGTACAGTCGAACTGAACGAGTGTGCCGGAACGGAATCACCAAGTGACTGTAAGACGACAGGAATTTGAGAAGGAAGCAGAAAGATTTCGTGCTTTAGTGGTGTGTCTGAACTGAAGAGATTGTTCGGGATATATAGGCAAGGAGGAGCCTTTGCCTCTTAATGCAGTCATAACTCCAGTCATAACTCTGCCATTGAATTCTCACGTTTTGGAGTTACAAAAATAAATGAAAACAGTTTTCAAGTTATGTTTTAAATGGAAAAACGTAAAAGAAAATTTTCAAAACGTGGCTTGCACTTGGTGGCCAATTTTTGACTCATTCGGTCCGACATTCGTGTACGCAGGTCGCGCCCGCACACAAGTTCAAGGCTCGAAGGCCAAGTCGGTCCAAGATTTGCACCCCCCCTGCGGGCGCGTAGGCCACGGAGGAGTCTCTATGCAACAAATGGTTACACCTTACAAATTGTTAACCATATATAAATTGGTCCAAAAACTTATTCTTATCCTATGTGGGATAACTATTTAAGTTTTCCCACTTGCCACTTTCTTTTTTCTTTTTCCAATGTGGGATGGTACTATTTATAGTCCCCATATATTCCCACTTTTCCATTTCTAACCAATGTGGGATTGTTAATCCCTTTTAAGGCTCCTCTTCAAATCCCAACTTTCAATCAATGTGGGATTAATTTCACATACACAAGGATTAATTTCACATACACAAGTGAAAATTCATTTGCCATAATATATTTTCCAACAATACCCCACATGAATGGAAATTAATAGAGACACGGAATACTTGGTGACAAAGTTCCACAGTTGAAACCTGCATAGGATAGGTAGGTGTTACCCTTTGAACCTCCCCTTATGAAAATACATTTACTTTACTAGCTGATCAGTAGACGTGATGTCTTTGAACTGTTCTGCGTTTTGTGTAAACGATGATGTACCTCACACAGGATTCTTCCTAACACAATTCAGTTCTCATGGTTATGTTCGTTTGTGGCCATGAACATATGCCTGGTTCAGTGAGAGTTATTAAGAATTGAGCCTCACAATTCCCTTCGAAGCGGCCCCACTTCTTTCTCACATAGGTGATTTCTTAATTAAGAGTAACCCGCATTACTCCGCTCGGATTTTCGACGCATAAGAATCATTAAAAGCCTTATTGCTTATCCTCTTCCCACGGGCATCACTATTATTACAGGAATGGACCGGAAATAACCCCCACAGTGATATAGTTAAGTATTTGCAATTAGGTTTTCTCATTGAACCTAGATCTTGGGATCTCCAGTCAGCTAGGTTGAGTTTCCACTACAATAACTTATTCTTTTAGAGGCTTAAGTCCCATTCCTTTTGATGACTTTGCAACTAACTCTCTATTTAACCCTTTGGTTAGCGGATCCGCAATGTTATCTTTAGACTTTACATAGTCAATAGAGATAACTCCAGTTGAGAGTAACTGTCTTATGGTATTATGTCTACGACGTATGTGTCTAGACTTACCATTGTACATGTTGCTTTGTGCCCTTCCAATCGCAGATTGACTATCACAATGTATGCAAATTGCTGGCACAGGTTTAGACCATTTTGGAATATCCTCTAAGAAATTGCGTAGCCATTCAGCCTCTTCACCACATTTATCTAGAGCTATAAACTCAGATTCCATGGTAGACCTCGCAATAACTGTTTGTTTAGAGGATTTCCATGATATGGCTGCACCTCCCAAAGTGAACACAAATCCACTAGTAGACTTTGAGTCTTTAATATCAGATATCCAATTCGCATCAGTATATCCTTCAATAACAGCAGGATATCTGGTATAGTGTAGTCCATAGTTACGAGTATATCTCAAGTATCTTAGTACTCTTACTATTCCTTTCCAGTGGTCAGACCCTGGATTACTAGTATATCTACTCAGCTTACTAACTGCATAAGCGATATCTGGTCTTGTACAACTCATTAGGTACATAAGACTTCCGATTATTCTAGAGTACTCTACTTGAGAAATACCATCGCCTCTATTTTTCGATAGATGTTGACTTGTATCTATCGGTGTTCTAGCCACGCCAGTATCATCATTATTGAATTTTTCCAAAATTTTGTCCACATAATGTGACTGACTTAGAACGAGTCCATCCGATGTTCTTGAAATTTTAACTCCAAGAATCACATCAGCTAAACCCATATCCTTCATGTCGAATCTTGAATTCAACATATTTTTAGTAGATTTAATCATCTTATCGTTGCTACCAACGATGAGCATGTCGTCAACATAAAGACATAAAATAACATAACCATTTCCTGTGTCTTTAATGTAAACGCATTTGTCACATTCATTGATTTTAAATCCACTTTCCATCATGGCATTGTCAAATTTTTCATGCCATTGTTTTGGTGCTTGTTTTAAGCCATATAATGACTTTACCAATTTACATACCTTGTTTTCTTGTCCTGGTGCAGAAAACCCCTCAGGTTGTTCCATGTAAATTTCTTCTTCTAAATCTCCATTTAGAAAAGCAGTTTTGACATCCATTTGATGTACTTCGAGATTGTACAAAGATGCAATCGCTAATATCATTCGAATGGAAGTTATTCTCGTTACCGGAGAATAGGTGTCAAAGTAGTCAATGCCTTCTCGTTGCCTATAACCTTTAATTACAAGTCTGGCCTTGTACTTATCAATAGTTCCATCTGCTTTCATTTTCCTTTTGAAAATCCATTTGTAGCCTAGTGGTTTGCTTCCCGGGGGAAGATCAACCAGCTCCCATGTATGATTTTGCAGAATGGAATCTATTTCACTTTTAATGGCTTCTTTCCATTGAGGACCTTCTGAAGAGTTTACAGCTTCTTTGAAGCTTTGAGGTTCAGTTTCTAGCATGTAAGTCAGAAAATCAGGACCATAAGATTTCCCTGTCCTTTCTCGTTTGCTACGTCTTGGTTCAACCTCAACTTCATCTTCTACTTCTTTGTCTTGACTATTCTCAATCATAGTCTCATATGTCCGTTTAGAAGAGTTTGCTTCATCTTTGGACTTA